CCTCTTGGATATCCCCCTCAGTACAGAGCCCTCCCTCAAGAACAGAGCTCTTTAACCCCCATACTTACCCACCAGTACAGAACTCCCCCCGCCCATGCCAGTACACATCTGACCTCACCTGAGTCATTACACGCCGCTCCGGCTTCCTGATTGGCCAGGAAGCCTACTCCATGCTCCCTCCTCACTTGGTGACGACATGGGCAGACTGATACAGTGTAAATGGAGCAGGCTGGCATGTCTGCGGGCACAGCGGCACTATGACACAGGAAGGAGGGCGATGCTGGCAAGCTGCTTGGGGGACTTGGCCACCCCTCCGACTCTGAGCCCCAGCATGCCCCGGCGCAGCACATAGCTCCCTGCCAGGGGTTCCCTCTACACCAGCCATCACTTGGTGACGAGGGAGCTGGCCAATCAGGAAGCCAGGCGGCGAATCATTACCCGCTCTCCGGCTTCTTGATTGGCCAGAAAGCCCTTAATGTGACTTCCGGTATCGGTACTGGCGAGTACCAGAAAAAAAATATCGGTACTCATACTTGATACTGAAAACCGGTATCGGTGCATCCCTTCTAATAAAACTAGACAATAAATCCAACTGTGCTAAATATGTAAAAATAAAACTGCCTGCTATTACAATTACATTCTTCATACATAAATACATCATGAATTTTCAGGCTTAGCATTCTAAAATATAAATAGTATGGAGAAAAGGAAACATTTCCATCTAAGAGAATAAAAGCAGCTATTGTGGTACCACAGCAGCACTGACACATTAACTCCCTTATAACACTCAGCATAAACATGTCCGTCAGTCACGGTAATTGTCGCCCTGAGCCACTAAAATTGATGATTTCGTACATATCAAATCAGCAATTTCGCTAAAATGATTGCTGCTTTTTTAAGACTGAAGGCATTCTGAAAATGTCACTAAGCATGGTAATATTTAAATGTAAACAATGCTCTAGGAAATTTCTGAAATCCTTTCATTAAAGATGATGGAAAGAGCTTTTAATTGATGTGTAATCCAGCATGCTCAATTCAGAGAAACCATAAACAGGCGTGCATTCATTCATAGTATACATTTTTATACCAATAAGTTGTATGCTCCTGCCCTCTGGTGGACATGTTTGGAACCACACTTGTAGCTTCCAATACAAAAAGGTAAACAATGCAATTCTTCTGCTGTACCCTACTTGTGTGGCAAGATGGAAGAGATGCATCACTATTAGCACCATTGCTGTGTTGTATAATATTTATAGGAATTACTACAGAAAAGTACAGAGTGACACAACCCTGTTTATCTAATCAAACAAAATATATATGGTGGCACTAAAAGTCTTATTAACTATACAATGAGCACATTTTGTTTGGAGTCCGAATGTTATGCGTAATTAAACACCCTCATTGGACTTTACACATGGATGGATGGATTTATATGTTATTTATGTTATTTTGCCATATGATTTGTGCAACATGTATAATGGCTTGAAAAATCCTGTTTTTTTTTACACTCCTCCTGCACATAACTGGGTGTTCTTTAAAAATTCACTCTGAAATTGAAAATTCTCTGCTCCTTTGTTAAATCAGTTTCACTTGATCTAATGGCTATCTTCTTGGTTTATATTACATAATAATACAATCTAATGCATGAAATGTGTTTAACAAGAGATTAGGAGATATACAAAAACAATTATGTGCAGTCTGTAACCAGTTAAGGACATTCAGCTTATGTCATATGCCCAAGTCTTTAACGGGTCAAACAAGCTCATTGCTGTGGTTCCTCAACTCTCCTGCTCCTTCTTGGAGTTCGGGACAGTAAAAAAACCTGTCAGAATGGTAAGCAGGAGGACATCGAAGAACATCCATTCCTTGTCCCCTGCAGAGTGAGAACCCCGAAGCACTCGAAATCTACCAGGTTCAGAGCTTTCTAAATCCTGCATAAACAGCAGGGTAAACAGCCGATCAAGTACAGTCTGTGATTGATCAACTGGAGCAGAGATCAGTAGAGACATTGGGGTATAACAGACCCCTTGATGTCTCCATAAAGAGTACCTATCACTTGCCCAAAGCTATCACATATATGGGTCTTTTAAAAAAAAAGTAAAAAGTATTAAAATAAAAACTAAATATAATAAAATAAATTAGAAACACCCCTGCCACCCTGCATACACACATTTGAACACAAGTGGGGCGTGCATGTGTACATAAACAATGGTTGCACAAAACATATTGGGTAACACTATTCACACCAGAGTGAGAAAGATAATTCTAGATGCCTCATTTACGGTTAACTAACAGGGGGATTGTATTGTGTGCAGTTACGCAAATATTGTGTGGCATGAACAATTGCAACTACCATCTTTTTATTCTACAGTGTCTCCGTTTTAAGAAAATACATAATTGTTTGGGGGTTTTAGGCAATTCTCCTGCCAAAAATGCAGATTCTACCACGTGTGCACAACATAAAAAAAATGTTCCACTAGCAAACTGGATAAACATTAATCTACAAGTAACTAGTCTGTACTAGGCAACTGGCTGTACTGTATACTTCCAGAAGAGATATTGTTCGGATTGCCATGGAAACAATGCAACCATCTTTCATTTCATGCTATGCATAGAATGTGCAGCATTTGCCTGTCATGGAATGCTGGAACTCAAATTACTGCCTTCTACCATTCATTATTTCTATGTAATCTACAATCTCCTAGTTCGGATTCCCTTTAATGTACAGATAGGACAATTGTTACCATGGCTACAGTGCATTATCTCACATTTTTCGACATTCAGACTCATCAGGCATTCCCTGCACACATCATTTCGTCCAAGCCCTGCTGCAGTGAGCTGCTGCCCTGCCCAGCTTTTGCAAAGCTTAGCTCACATCTTCTAGTGAGAAAACATTATACTGTAGGTGTTATGAACCATTGTCACTTGTCTAATGCAAAATATAACAGAGAGACCCTTGTATTTTATTGGTCATACAAGAAGTCTGATATCAATTACACATATGTTGTGGACACCTAACCTAGGCTATAATGCTGAATTACAATGCTCACGTTACTGAACTTAAAGTATACCATATGTCAGGGCAAAATAATGAAATAAAACATCCAGTGCGCGCCTGCAATATATTCACAATTTCCAATGTGTTATCCCTCTGAAGACCATGAAAGTACAGAAAATACCTGCTGATCTGACAAAAATGCACTTCGCTCAAAAGTCCTGTTGTGCCTGAGAACAAAAAGGTGGGAATTTATCAAAATTAAGCAGACAGAATCTGGAACAATAGCCCATGGAAAACAATTAGCTTCTTTAATTGTCAAAACGTAACTGAACAAACTGAAACGAGAAGCTGATTATTGTGGGCAACTGCTCCAGATTCTGTCTGCTCCAGTTTGGATAAATTCCCCACAAAACAATTTGAGTTGTGTCAGCCCTACCCAAGTCAGGAATGCTCTGCAGTTATTTTTTCAACTATAAGTTGCTACAAATTCCACAGGACCATAGCTGCCTGCAGCGCATTATTAAATGTAGACACATTTTGCTGATTTACCTGAGTGAAGTATTTTCCATCCTGTTTCAAGACTTTCATGCAAAGGTCCAAAATCAAACGTAAAAATTCCCAAGTAGAATCTAGATGAAAAAAAATATATATATATGCATATATATAAACACTAATAAGACCATTGATCATTTCTTCAAAGAAAAGTACATTTAACCATGCCTAATATTGGCTTTGCTCACATGTGGCTTTATAATCACAGGCAATACAATTTTGAACCTATGGTACCCCGACAGCTAGAATTGTGCCCATTCTACAAAGGTAATGGCATATGTCAGTAATCATCAATTACTTGTATTCAAACAGCAGATGCTTTCACAATCTTGCCTGTCGTATTGAACAGGTTTAAAATAAAAAGATGCAAAACAGCCTCTAAAAAGATGCTTCATTTACTTCTCCTTGACTGCAGGCGCGACATCTTAGCACAGTAGCCATATTGATATGTGTCAATCTAAAAACAGAGCTTGGATTTTTTTTTTTTTTAATCTAAAAAGTTTCAGCTGCAGTACTTTCAGTCTTGAAACAATTTGAAGCAGCATATTTGTAAAATGATGGGCCATCTTGTCCCCTGGACTTGCAATGTCCATATCTAAAGTGTCTAAACATGTCGTCGTAGAACATGATGTAATACGGCGTAACTACCTTCTTCTGGAGAGGTGGAGATGGGGACAGCGGTGAGATCATTAATCACATAGTCAAACGTTCGCCCTTCTTTGGCATACATCTTCAATACTGGGACACAATCTTCAACCAAAATCTGGGAAAATCACATAATTCAATGCGGTTATATATAGTATACAGTCATATATAAACTGAGAGCTTAGATGACTGGGGATCGGACAGGACTGGCTGAAATGTATTAGCCATGGTTACCATTATCTCTCGCTTTGTATTGAATTGGTGAAGTGGATGTGTTGGGAGTGTACTGCCCATTTCTCATATGTGTTGATGATGTAAAAGGTAGCTTCCATAACACTAGATCATAGCAGGTGGGACTGCGAATACCTCACCTGTGCTTTCAAATTCAAAAAGATCTGATGTTTATAAGAAGTCAGAATAGCAGCAACAAGAGGAGAAGAGAATGGTCTGCTGTGCCTTAGCCCTCATTCACACGGGTAACGGCCGGCCCGTACAGTTCCGTGCTCCGTGCACGGCCGTATCGGGCAGCTCCCGGGAAGGAGAGGTGCTGTGTGTGATTTGTACGCAGCAGCCTGTCCTTCTCTATGGGAGTATGCGGCCGTACGCTGCCCTACGCTCACCTGACCTGCACGTCCGTGCGGGTGTCCGTACTCGTATGCTGACAGGATGAATCGCACGCAGTATTGATCTGTACAGGGTGGCAGTTACCTGTGTGAATGAGGGCTTCCAGATATACCTAGTGGGAAAATGAAAACCTCTGAAAATGGATTGCATCCTAAATTCTGACCAAAGTGTACTTTTAATCTGCTGTTGGGTCAGTTGTAAGTTTACAGGCTTGACTTTATGACCAAGCTGCCATTTTCTATGAATCTGCACTCTCTTTTGATTGAAAAGTTGAATATATAATATTATAGTTCTCCCTTGCTTTGTTTGGGATTTATGGCATTCCATCAGCATAGAGTTACAAGAAACAATACTTCACTTCTAACTAGTTTTACAATAGAATACATTTTTTTGCAGTATGCTCCTTCATTGTCCAATCAACAGGCTGCAGGCGCAGAGTTGACACCACTCTACGCCTTAACTCCTACTATAAAAAGTGGTGGCACCCTTCTATCTATGCTAATTGTAAATAAAAGTAATTCACCGGCACACACTTGAAGGGTTTTTTTAAGTATTGATATATTTATTCAATACCCAATGTCACATGCTGTCATACAGTGCTAACGTTTCGGGTCCAGAGCGACAGTGTCACTGTCACTCTGATGAAGGATCCCTGTGAGGACCCGAAACGTTAGCACTGTATGACAGTATGTGACATTGGGTATTGAATAAATATATCAATACTTTAACCCCTTCATGACTGAGCTTGTTTTTGGTTTCTGTTCGTAAATGACTGACACACTTTTGACATTTTTGCTGTGTGATTCTTCCACGTCAGTAATATACTTTCTTACAAAGTGCACCCACACATATTATATATTGTTTTTTAGAGGACAGATAGGGCTATATATTTATATCACATATGTGTGTCTAACGCCTCACTTAGCACAAATACAAATTAAAAAAAGAGGAAAAAACGTAAAAAAAAACTTTTTTTCCCAGTTTTGATTTGTAGTATTTTTTTTAAAAAAACCAGCACAGCTAAAAAAAATGCAATACATACATTCATTTATTTGTCCCTTATTTTTAATTTTTTTACACTTTTCACTATTTTTTTAAATTTATTTACACTTTTCACTTTTTTTATACTGACAAATTTTATTTATTTAATTATATCAGGCAGTCATTGTGAATTAATCTCACTATTACTGCTTGATAAATTAATACATTTTTTTTTATTATCAGGCTGCTTCAAACTTCAGAACAGCCGATAATAAGTTAGTGACACTGATCCTGCAGCAGTTCAGGATTCAGCTGTCAGTGAATGTTTCAGAAAACTTAAACATTCTACTTTCAAGAATAGATACATTATGTGTCTAATACATAACATTTTGTATCTATTCTTGAAAGTCAAAAGATAAAAAAAAAAAAAGCCAGTATAGCTTGAGAGAGATATCTCTCGATCTATACGAGCTGTCAGAATGCCGGCAAAAGCCGAAATGTGTGTCTGCTTTGCTGTGACTCTCAGACACCCGATATTAAGGTATCGGGTGTCTGAAAAAGGTTAACCCTTTCAGTAATGGATCTCTAGATAGTTAGACATCTATTACTGAAAGATAACCACTGATTCTCAGCGGTTAGCAGCCTTCTAGTGCAGCAAATAACTCGTCACGTACAGTGTACGTGACGAGTCATTTGGTCCCTTTGTGGCTGGACGTACAGTGTACGTCTCCCGTCACGAAGGGGTTAAAAAACCCTTCAAGTGTGTGCCGGTGAATTACTTTTATTTACTATTAGTGTTTTGCACGGCGCCATCCGTGTGGTCACCTGGGCACCACATATACCTTGTGGTTTTGGGACCGTGGCAGTGCGAATGGGATTTGGACATTCTTCTATCTATGCTGTCTAACAGAGATATAGGAGTCAGAAAAGTGGCTGGACCAAATAACAAATCCTTTTGGCAGTTAACATATGTGTATTTCAAAATGTATTTATCGGTTTGTCTGGAGGTCAGCATTAAAGTGTAAGTAAACCCTAACAATAAACGTATTGTCTTTGATCCCTTTGGTCTGGTAAATACACAAATAAAAGGATTTTGTTGTATCTGTTTGATGACAGCACAACAATAGCCAGTAATCCCGTGATCTCATGGCTTCCTTTGGTCTCTGAACTAAAACCTTAAGCAATGTTATCAGCCCTGCCTAGTTCTCTTTTGTGGACTATAGAACACCCACCCCCTATGTTATGGGGTGATGTGGAGAGGGTGAGGTGTCTTGCAGTCCAAATCAGGAGAAAGCAATTGTCGTCATAGAATAGGAAATGTGTTACTGGCAGAATTACAAGGGTAAAACAAGGAAAAAAAGCTGGGAAAAAAGACAACTAATGAAACCACCAGATCTACAGCCTGCTGAGCTGCAATATATTAAATTTTTCTCCTTGGGTTTTGATGCGCTTAAAGTGACACTAAACTCAGGAGTTTAATCTCAAAAACACATTCAGGTCCCTTGACTATTACCAAAAATGTATCTTATTTGTGTATCACTCAGCTGTAGATCCTCCAATCATCTCTGAATTCATGCTGACACTGTCCTTCCTTCTGGAGGGTGATCACTTTTGTTCCCCATGGTCCCTGTGTGTGTTGTAAAGTAGACACCGCTCCAAGCTCACACCCGTGATGAACTACAATCTCAATACAAATTATTAAACTAAAAGTGAGATTGTAGTCCATCACGGGAGCGAGCTTGGAGCGGTGGCTACTTTATAACACACACAGGAAAATGGGAGACAAAAGTATCCACCCTCCAGAAGGAAGGACAGTGTCAGCACCAATTCAGAGATGATTTGACGATCTACAGCCGAGTGATACACACATAAGATACGTTTTTGTTAATAGTTCAGGTACTTGAATGCATTTTTAGGATTTAACTATAACTAGTGTCACTTTAAAGGGTTATTAAACCCTCGGGGTTTTTGCACATATCTACTGCGAGCAAAAAGAAAAACTTTTCAAAAGGGTTTAGCCACTTCCGGGCCGCAATACGTCTATATACGGCAGCCCGCAGAAGTGGTTGAAACAAGAATACGGCTGCTGCAGCAGCCATGTTCTTGGTGTCATTTTTAACAGACAGTGATGGCTGTTATTGTACAAGCGATCCAGCATCTATACAGCCCCCCTATGTGATAGCAATAAGGTTGGTGTACACTAAAAAAGTGTTTACAATTTTTTTTAAATAAAGTAACATATAAGAAAAATAAAAAAATAAAAAAAAGTTAAATTCCCCCGCCCTCTACATGCATGCACATAGACACGCATTGCGCCTACATGCGAAAGCGACAATTGCGCTAAACATGTTGCATATTGCCGCGAATGTTGGAGTGAGAGCAATAACTCTAGAGCCATTAATCACTATTAGCACTAAACTGATGAACGGTAAAAGCGTTTAAAGTTTTTGGGTATAGAAGTTTTTTTGCGGCTTCACGGGCGAACGCAATTTTAAGGCTAGACATGTTTGGTATGTATTTACCCGACGTGGCCCCATCTATTATATTATATTTCTGTGCACTAAATTTTAATTTAGTTTATCCTAAAAATACTGGTTTGCGCAAATGCCAATGCGATGAAACATTGCAACTAGCATGTTTTTATTCTACGGGGCCTCTGCTTTCAGAACATATATGATTGTTTGGGGGTTTGAAGCTGTTTTCTAGCCAAACATTTATATTTTATCATGTGTGCGCAAATAGTAAGAAAATGCTCTGGACAGCAAGCGGTTAAACTTACCAGTGTCTCCGCCGCACGATACCGTCCGAAGATCTGAAGGTTATCACACGGCCGCAAAGGATCTTGAGGCGGGCGCATGCGCAGTTCAGATCTTCGTCAGGAAGACGAGGAGAGACACAAGGTAAGTCAATGCAGGCAGCCCGGCAACGTGCACCTGCACAGACTCTGTGGGGCACCGAAGATGCAGCAGTCAGCACTGGATCAGAGACCGGCTCCAGCGCTGGAGGGACTGATGAAAACTACAGGAAAGAAGATGATGATTGAATCAAGAGGCATCATCTAAGGGAAGTGCATACACCCGATCAGGGGGCGGGATACATTTTTTTTTACTTTAATGTCACTCTAAGCGGCTTGTGACTATTAGCAGGTGAGAGAAATGTTTACGACTCTGGTCACTAACATCAAAGGTAGTCATGATCCCATTTTCAAGTAAAAGAAACAGACATAAAGAGCAGTATCAGTTCAGGCACGTTTTGGTGTGAAAAAATGGCAACTTCTACATTAAACTCTAAAGACTGTATAAATACATACGGGATGAGGGCCTCTTAAATTTCTGCATATGCCATCAAAGTACAAAAACAGACATTATTTCAAAAAAGCAGCAAAACAGAATACATACCTCATAACAGTCACCTTTAAGATTGTCTAACACATCACCACATGTTTTTCGCATATGTTTTCTACATCCATCGATCACCATTTGGTCTATGTTTGAAAGATGTTAAGGTCTGATTATTTGTTTGTGACACATGACAGTGTAATGGGAAAGCCTGACAGGCCTGCTGCAATAGTGATGTAATTTATGTCATGTTTCACAGATACAGCTGAGTGTGGGAATTAGATGTTGGCTGAATAACAAGGAGCAGCACTTTCACTGACTCAATCACTAAATCTGTCACCCAAAGCTCTTCACTCTAGATTTGTGTAGCGGAGTGGCAAAACCTAACATCACTTTTATTTACAAGATATATCTTAAATAGCACCATAATACAAAATGGAGGCAGTTAATTGTTATTTACTTTTAAATGTTCAATTTTTGAAATGTCAGAATTTTGCATTTGCACAAATGTATCATTTTATAATTATTTTCATAGCAGGATATTTTCATTACCTTAAAAAATGAAACATAAAAACATAAAAAAGGTGGTTACTAATTGTGATCCGTTGTTAAGTACCCAAATAGAAACCTAGATATTTACAGCTACATTGAGCACATGAACTGAAAGTTATAGTGGTGTTCATGTCCTTCTACCACGACAAGGTGACTATCTCTGGAAGAGAGAAGGTCTTACCAGGCAAAGATAAATAAAGGCCTACCAGGCCTGAATTTGAGCATCAGGCAGTTATGAACGTCTGTGCTAATCATCGTTTGCGCAAAACCAAACCACTTTTAAACATAAAATTGATCATAAGTGAACTGATTCACAGATGAGAGTGGGGTTAAAGGTCAACAGTAGTTGTACCATCTACCCAGAGATCCTGTGTTTTAAACACCAACAGGGTTATTCACAAAAGGGTGAAGAGTTTGGAGAAGGCAGGAGAAGTGAACAATCTAGGTCAACATAGCTAAACTGAAAAGTGAGCTGAATTGTAGAATTTTTCCTTTCCAAATCAGCTATTTTGGCCTTGATAATTCCCTTCTTCTGCCTTCTCCAAACTCTTCACTCTTTTGTGAACAGCCCTGCAAGATAAATAGAGAGACAAAACTATCAGCTGATCACCACTTGGTGATGCAATAGATTAAGTTCGTGGCCAGGTAGGCCTGGCAAGCCAATAACAAAACTTCATCTGTTGGGAATATTATCAGAAAGTACGCACCATCCAAGAAAGCAAAAGCCTGGGCATTGGAGGCGACTGGAAACGCCCTGGAAAAAGCCTGCTGGAAAGATATTTTGGCAAAGCATTTAGTACCTTAGGGTAGGAGAGGTAGTGAACGACTTAGGCTATGCTAACCTAGTGTGGGAAGTGTCAAAAACAATACAAATAACATTTTGCAGAACTCCTAAAACTGGTGAATATGTCGTCCCAGTTGAACACAGACCTAGCAACCTTTGAGAGTGTGGTAGCCATAGCTAAAGATAGTTACTATGGAGGTTGGATAATTCTGTACTGGCAAGGCTGTAGGGGTAGATCAAATCTCTAAACACCAAAGCCATTAGGCAGTATTGGGGTGCATGGCTTACTCACTTTTTCAATGCAGCATTGATTGAGTTACAAACTCCAATGGTAGGTCATGTCTTTAAGAAAGTAGACTCCCAACATCATGCACAGGTCCCAACTCGATACTGTTGAATTGATTGTTGGCCTCCCCGACCCAGAAGATGCCTCTCTCCTCCATTCATAGTCATCTATACTCCGGTGCATCTTCTATCTCATCGTCCATCCCCCCATATGCTTTAAAAAGGGCGGCTCTTCTGAAACTATCCCCGCAATCTGCTCAATCGGTCATTTTGACAGGTTGGATGCAACTAAGATGGGCAGTGGTGTGCGAAGCATGGAGGGAAATCCAATTTAAACTAATACATCGGGCTTACTATGGTTTCAATATCATCACAAGTCACAGGCCTCCGGAATGGCTGATAACGTGCCCGAAATGCCAGGTTCCCCTGCCCGACTTGACCTCATATGGCTATGCCCCTATGTACAACCCTTGTGGGAGGAGGTTATCTCCTATATGAATGTACATTCTGGATATACTAGAATACCTTCACCTGATATTTGTCTCTTTCATTGTCCAGCCCCAGAGCAACCCGACACATCGCCATCACTGACAAGATGGGAACACATCTGCATCATAAGCACCAAAAAAGCCATCTTGATAGACTGGTAGACATCCACCCCAACATCACTACCCAGGTTTAAGTCGGTGCTCCATCGGCTCATGTTGCTCGACAAATTAGATACAAAATGTAATATGCAAAGCACCAAAAAGTTCTTAGATACCTGGTCTGCCTATCTGATTTCTGAGCTGTCTACAGAGCAATTGCGTGACATAATGATTATTTTCCAATACTCCACATGGTTCCTCACTGCCAAACTCTCTAACACACTTGGCGATCTAGATGTCCTTTAGCAGCCCATTTATTCATTCTTACTCATTCTTGCCCACGAATATAATTTCCCCACTCTCTTTCTTTCAACGCATTGAGATTGCAACCCTGAATCGCTTTACTACTACCCAACAACTACTCTTTTTCTTACATTCCATGGATTGTATGTTATTAAGGTTATTCACATTTTCATTAACAAATGTCATCCCTGTTACTGTTGCCGTTTTGACATTTATGTTTTCTTTGTGCCTCATTATATGACGGTGTTTCTCAGGACTGCATGACTGTGCACTATTGGAATTTAACTGTTTATGCTCCCACAACTTATTTTGCCCTACAAGTGTCTGTACATTATGCACCGTTGAAACCTGCTAATTGTACTGTACTTACTTTACAATAAAAATTAACATGCAAAAAAAAAAAAAAAGTAGACTAGGTGGTGTATTTCGATTATAGGACCAAAGTATTCTCATGCTTCTAAAAAATAATGCAGGCTTTTGTTGTAGTACATCTTACTGGTGTGCCACTTCATGTGTGGGTTTAGGGAATCCCCAAGCATGGTATTTAAAGCAGATCTTCAGAATGTTTTTTTATTAACCCTTGTAGTGGGGCTACTCCTTCACTGCAAGGGTTAAGTGCTCATTTTGCTAGTGCTAGGATCTAAAATAAAAAAGATATACTCACCTGATCTTCGGTTCTGCGGCAGTGACCACTCAACTCTTTCTCCCTCCACTCCAGGTGAAGAATGTCGCTCGGCATCCTTGTGTATTATATGAGTCAATGGACTTGTATTACACATGATGAAGTCAGTAGGCTTAGACGAAGCCCGGGTGAGGAGAGGCTGCCGAGACCGGTCTAGCAACCAGTTGGGACTGACAATCGCGTGAGTATATCTTTTTTATTTTATACCCTAAACCAAGACAAGCATTTTACCCTTGCAATGCGGAGGAAGCCCCACTGCAAGGGTTACATTTTTTACTGCCCAGAGTTCTTCTTTAAGCCTTATTAAAAGAGCTGCTCCCTGCTGGACATTTATTTTTTTAATATGTACTAGTACATGTCCCCCTGCCCAGCTCCTCATGCTTTCTGTTTCACAATTCCTTGCATATTAGCCTTATACATGGAGAGATTTGATTTTCAGGATTGATTTCTAAAGGGTTTACATTAAAGTTCACAACTTTCGCAGAGCATTCGCCGGAAGCATTCACCGAGCATGATTACGAATCAAACTCAAGTCATTTTGCCCATCACTACACAAATAAAGTAGCTAAATAAAAAGAAAACATTGCTTGTGAATTCTTGCAAGTTAAATTGACACTCAGGGCATACTCTTTCCAACCTGTAAGGCATTCAAAATCCATTGCCACACAGCACCATAAAATCAGTACTTAGCTATGGTTGTAAAGAAATGTCTGGAGGATATTACTTCAAAGCCACAGTAATAGATGAATTATAGACATCTAAAAAATAGTACTACTTTGCGTTTTAGGGATTTTAAACACTTATTTTAGAACTCTCTTCTAGCTAACACAAATCTAAGGCGGGATTGGGCAAATTTTAAAAGCCAGATAGCCTGAAAATTGACTCCTGGCACCATACTTGTACTTGTGTGAGTCATTTCTATGGAAATCGCTTTATTCTTTGCTTCTGAAAAGATTCGGTTAGCATTGAACATGGAACACAAAATACAGACAGAAAAAAAAAAAACATGCAAAATGACTGCAAACTAAAAAGCAATGTCACTGATCTGTGGCTGAACTCAGAGCACTAGCACACTAATGGTGAGAACCTGGAAATGCTGCATGCATACATACTGTGAAGGAGTGTGCATTGTGTCAGTGTTCTGTGACAATGTAGAATGCTGTCTGTATGCTGTGAATGTCAGTACAATTGAGAAATCAGACACACAGGAGGAGCATGGGCCATGCAGAGCATCTAAGAGAAGGCCACAGGTACAAGAGAGAAATGCAGAGGGTATGACAGCTGGGAGTATGTTCAGGAGAGCAGTGCGGAGAATATCAAAGTGGGCAGTATGTGCAGGAGAGGAATGCAAAAGGTATGAAAGTGGGCATTATGTGCGGAAGAGGAGTGTGTATGAAATATGTGTATCAGCAGTGGGCAGGGGGGGATTTGGGTTGTGTGTGGTGCCAAGGAGGGATACGTGTCAGCATTTTTCACAATGACATGTAATGGTTGTTCTCGGTTCTGCAGCCATATATTGTAAAAACCTGGTGTAACCCAAGCACTGACAGTACACAAGTCCTGGCAGTCAGCCCCACAGCTGTGTTTTATTCCAGGGAGCTGAAGGAGAATAGATCAGGTTTGGGGATGTATCAGTCTGCAGTTTTCCCTGCTCACCAAGCCCGCCTTGCCTCAAGCTCTGTTCCTGGTTTGCATGCAGAGTGTCCTGTTTATAGCTGCCATCGATCTCTCTCCTCCCTGCTTTGATATCAGTCTGCTTAATGTGCATTACATATGGGCTGACAGCATTTCATGGCATGTAAGCAGGGTAAGTGGGGAGTTGTCAGCATGGAGGGACCATAGCTGTAGGGATCCTGCACTGATGGCTGGAGGTTCATGCATACAAGGGGGGCCTGCACACAACACTGCACTGATGAGCAGTGTAACTGGTGTGAGTGTTCAAGGGAGCTGAGACGAGTTTTCAGGGGAGCCACAGGATTGACCTGTCAAGATACTGCTTGAGCCGAGTGTCAGAACTAGTATGAGAGTTCAGGGGAACCAGGAGCAATAGGCAGTACCCATTTCCGGCCACAAACCCTCCCACTGCTGCCACTACTACGGAATCTTATATTGTTGCCATGGGGTAGCCATTATCTAGAAGTCTAACACAAAAATGTTTTTTTTCTTTATTTCTTTAACTTTTAGGCTCCATTCACCCCAGATCTGTTGCGTTAGCATCTGTTTTTAAGCGGATGCTACCGCAAGGGCATCGAAAATTGAATGGGTGTGAATGGGGTCAGTTTACACTGTTAAGCTGAGTTGCAGTGCGCTGGAACAAAAAATGTAGAGCATGCTCTACTTTTTTCTCAGCACAACACAACGCGTCAAAAATACATGCTAAAACAATGTGAGGCAATACAGTGAAGCATGTCCACTCAGGGCATGTTACTTCACATTAAGATTGCCAAAAAAGGAAAAAAAGAACGGAAACACACAACGGAACATAAGAAAATCGGAAGGATTTTGGTGCGAACGGGCCCTCAAAAAAAATGATT